AACAACAGCGCCACCGACATATGGAAGGGTATCCGAAAGATTTCCGAAGCTGCATTTACGCCGAAGAGTAGACGTTTGTACCTCCTTAATCCGACGTGCGTGCTAAAAGTAGTTATACTCCGACTGGCCGGGTCAAGTTCAAGCTGATGGTACGCATTTGTCAAATCGAGCGTACTGAAGAGGGTGGATCCATGAAGGTCGGCTATCAAGTCGTCGATTGTTGGTATTATGTGTTTCTCCCGTCGTATAGCCTGATTGGCTTCTCGCATGTCAATGCAGAGACGTACCTCCCCCGACTTTTTAGGGACAATCACAACTGGGCTGACCCATGGAGTTGGACCGTCAACTCGTTCTATGATATCGAGGTCCTCCAGGCGTTGAAGTTCAGACTCCACATCTTGCCAGAACATACTCGCAGAACTCCTAAGTGATCTGAACGGCTGTATGAATTATGCTGATGACATAATAGTCCACGGGTCCAACCGAGCGGAACATGACCAGAACCTACTTGCTGTTCTACAACGTATACGAGAATACAACATAAGACTAAGCAAAGGCAAGTGTCAGATAGCTCAATCTGAAGTGAAGTTCTTCGGACATATATTCTGCGCAGACGGCCTACGACCAGATCCTGGCAAGGTAGACGCCATCATAGAGTCAAGTCCACCAAGCAACGTCAGTGGTGTGAAATCGTTCCTAGGCATGGCGCAATACATGGCACGGTTCATACCAAACTATGCCACCATAACAACACCCCTCCGAGCACTTACCCACAAGGGTGCTCTGTGGATGTGGAACAAAACTCACCAACAGTCTTTCGACTCCCTCAAGAAAGCACTCTCTAGCGCTCCCGTGATGAACTACTTTGACACCCGTAACCCGACGGAGATTCTCGTTGATGCCAGCCCAAGTGGACTAGGTGGTATACTACTACAAGAAGGCAAGGTTATCAGCTATGCCAGCCGGGCCCTGTCTAGTGTAGAATCCAGGTATTCTCAGACCGAGCGGGAAATGCTAGGAGTAGTGTGGGCTGTTCAACATTTTCACTTGTATGTATACGGCAATGCATTCACCGTTAAAACTGACCACAAACCCCTGTTGGGAATCTTCCAAAGTCAAAAGCTGATGTCAGCTCGCATAGAAAGATGGAGGCTTCGTCTCGCACCATACAATCTGAAACTTTTGTATAAACCAGGCCGCGACGACGCTAACCCAGCCGATTTCCTGAGCCGCCATCCAGTGACAACGCCCACTGAAGACAACACGGACAACATTGCAGAAGACTACATTGCTTACATATGTCAGAAGACGGTGCCAAAGGCGATGACACTTGGTGAAATCCGCGAGGCAAAGCACAGGACCCAACGTTACAGAAGGTCCTTACTGCTATCACTAAACAGACCTGGAAAGACGACGACCTGAAGTCTTACAGGCCACTCCGTGCTGAGCTAGCAGAATATGACGGTCTCATCTTAAGAGGACACCGCCTGGTCATCCCAACTAGCCTCAGACAGAAAGTGTTAGATATAGCCCATAGTGGTCACCAAGGCGTAGTCAAGACGAAAAGCCTCTTGCGCCAGAAGGTATGGTTCCCGGGCATAGACGGTATGGTAGAACATCTTGTAAAATCATGCATCCCGTGTCAGGCCACTACCAGAAGTGCTACTCGCCCTGAACCACTGGTGATGTCTACATTGCCAGCACAACCATGGTGCAATATATCTATCGACTTCGGAGGTCCACTTCCTTCAAATGACCTACTTCTTGTTGTAACTGATGACTACAGCAGATTTCCTGAAGTTGAAATTGTGTCATCGACGTCAGCAGCTGTAGTGATACCTAAACTGGATGCTATCTTCTCCAGACAAGGAGTACCTGAAGTTGTAAGGTCAGATAATGGTCCGCCATTCCAGGGATCTGACTTCGCCGACTTTGCTGCCGACATGGGTTTTACCCACCGACGTGTGACACCCCTTTGGCCTCAGGCTAATGGCCAAGTGGAACGTTTTATGGACACAGTCATGAAATCAATCCGGGCAGCTCACCTAGAGGGAAAACTGTGGAAGAGAGAATTACTAAGATTTCTTCGACAGTACAGGGCAACCCCTCACACGACAACAGGTGTGGCTCCAGCGGAGGCACTGTATCGCCGCCGGTTTCGTACGCAGCTCCCTCAGCTGCCGGCTAAAGACTTACCCTTGCTGCCGGATGTCCACAGCCAGATAAAGCTACGTGATGCTACGAACAAGGCAAAGATGAAACAATATGCCGATAAGAGACGTCGTGTAAAGCCCTGTGAAATTCGGGAAGGAGACCATGTTCTAGTGAAGCAACAACGCCGCAACAAGGGATCACCACACTACGATCCTGTACCGTTCGTGGTAGAAACGCGCAAAGGGAATATGGTGATTGCCAGGCGTGGAGTCCAGAAAATCACTCGAAACATCACGTTTTTCAAACGTCTAACTGGATCAATCAATCCGGATCCCTTACCTGACGAACCGGATACCTTCTCGGAACCCCCACCTGATGAGACGACACTACACGACCGAGGACCACAACCCGTTGAGGACGCACCACTCAAACCATGTCTGAAGTCTGCAGATCGACCTCAGCGTGCGCGTAAACTTCCAGTGAGATTCAGGGATTATCTCGGTGTCCCTACATAGTGAGACACTTTAAGGGGAAGTGGAAGTAACCTCTCCCCTAACAGCAATTTGTGTCTATTTGTGAATGTGTAAACCAAGTCTCACAATCAGATCATTGTACCTACCTCAAGTGTGACTCCGAGTAAAAAGACTCGTGTGAGCTTTAGTGACATTTCTCAAACAAACATTTTCTGTGTTAAGTGATTTTAGTTCGTTCAGTATTATCAAAGACTGTCTCAATTTTCAGAAGTGCAATTTTGCGAACATTTCAATATGGTACATTTAATTTTGCCATTTTCATGTTGTGTTAATTCAGTCTTTATTCTAAACAATATTTTCTCTACCAAGTTGGGGAGGAATGTAGTATAGTCGATTTCAAATACTCTGTGTAATCTCTTCACCGTATGGTGCTGCCACCTAGGCAGGTGTTTTGGGAGTTGTGATCCGCCATGTTTTCATCACAGTAATAAACGATAGTCATGTTCCTTGAAATCACGCCTTTGTCAGTGTGTACAACCATGTAAGATATCATAGGGAGGAAACCCATCACCAGCGCGAAATTGGAGGTCAAAGGGCAGTGGGGGAAATGTCAACTATCAGACATTTTCTGAGGAAATGGTCTAATGGACCGAATTTTTTTGTTTCAGCGCTGACCTAGCATTTTTATCGCTATTTAAAGGACCATGAAATGTACTTTCTTCTGACGTGCGAAGAGTAAATGTCTGATAGCCTTTTGACCCTCAAGAAGAGAGTTAAACATGGATTTGTTGACTGTTAACAAAAAACTGAACTGCTTTTGCTATTAGAGCCCCCTCCACCCGCCCCCTCCCCGTGAGAGTTGCGGTAACATAGTGCGCTGGAAATGGTACTGTGCAGGTGTGCATAGGCCTACGTCCTATGTGTGCGTGTGTATTATTGTATGCATGTGAACACCTAGGCGACAGTCGGCTTGGGAGATGACAAGCCACGAATAACGGTCATATTGATGCACACTCGATGGGTAACTTTGCCTGGCATAAATTGGCGCCAACCAGCTTAAATGAACTGCATGTGTGTGCGCGCAAATGATGAGTACTAGTAACTAGCTATAGCGTCCCACGCGCGCTTAGAGATTAAATTATTAGCGCGGACCTTCTTAGACCTTAATGTGACAGACAGTGAATGAATTAACACCGGCCGGTCAGCATAATTAAATATTGTAATAGCCAACATCAGGTAGTGTTATCGGTAAAAACGGTGACGGATGAACGGCGGAATTGATTTGCTCTCAGAGTCAACATGGGTCGGCGCCAATGTTACTCATCTATTGGTTAAAAAAAAACATGCATACCTACTCTTAAGGCAAGGTTTGTAAGACGTGCGCGCCAAACGCCCAAACGTCACCTGCTATTGGCTACCACAATAGTTAATTGTGTTCAGCGGCCGGTGTTAATTCATTCACTGTTTATCACATTATACCCCGTACAGACTGCAAATTTGATATGGTATTAAACTGGTGCGGGTCAGGCGTGCTTCAGGCATCTCTTTACAGTGTACACGCTATCCCGCTCCAAATGCGCACTGGCCCGCACCAATTTGGCCCCGAAAATGAAGGAGGGCCAGCCCCGGGATAAGGTATCCTGCACCAAGCTGTGTCTGTACGCAGATCCAATGCGAAATCGCAATACGCATGCGCATAGCGTTGTTTAGGTCACGTAATTGTACAAATGCTATTATGTCTGTGGGGTGACGTGACGAGCTGAACTGAAAACTGATGACTCATTTAATGTACGATCAAATTTGCAGTCTGTACGCTACGATTTGGCACGCGCCAGGCGCGCGCCAGTTTGATACCATATCAAATTTTGCAGTCTGTACCTAGTATTAATGTCTAAGAAGGACCGCGCTAATATTTTAATCTCTAAGCACGCGCGTGCACGCTAGCTAGTTACTCATCAATTGCGCGTACGCATGCAATTCATTTAAGCTGGTTCATGCCAATTCATGCCAGTCGACGGGAGCCATGCAATCAGTCGTACCCATCAATTGTGCGACAATATGATCGTTATTTGTCGTTTGTCATCTCCCAAACCGACCGGCGTCTAGGTGTCCACGTACATACAATAACTGTATTAATGTATGTAATATGTGTATACGTGTCCTATATGACAAATTTGAGAATCCTATTTGTAGCAGGATTATTACAGGTTTTCTCCGGAAATGTGCGAATGTACACAATCCTCATGTGCTCGAAAACTTCGACAATTGACATTAAATTTTGACAGCGAAGTACAGCTAGCGTACAATTACGTGACCTAAATAAGGCTATGCCCATGCGTATTGCGATTTAGCACCCGGTCTTGCCCGCTTGTTGTGTACAGACACACACACAAGCGGGCTATCTTAGTCCGGACTAAGCCCTGCTTCATTTCCGGGGCTAACTTGGAGTGGGCCAGCGCGTATTTGGAGCGGGATAGGGTGTACACACTGCAAATATTTAGCGCGAGTCTGACGCGCGCTAGTTTAATACCATATCAATTCGTAGCATGTACGGGGTAACAGTTACCGCGTGAAGCTTGCGACGCGCCTGTGATGTGCGCGCGATTGGGAAACCTCTTTCTTCAGCAACCAAGCTACACAGTTACGAAACGGTGTGGTGCTCGCACCAGTAAATATAACATCGCAATTGTATTATCATCAATCGTAAGCATAGTATATATATATAGCATCCATGTACTTTTGTCCTCGGCAACAGATCTCATGGATATCGCGGATGTCTATACCATTAAGATTCATCAACGGAATTTGGAATTGTTGAAGAGTGAGAGCTGTGCGTGATTAAACGCAAAAAGGCTTAAGAGGTCGAGAACTTTCAAAATAAGAGGGGATTTTTTTAGCAAAGGCCATTTTAATTCTGACAAATTTGTTAAACAAATCAACGCCATTCCCTCGTCACGTTTTCTGCCACTGCTTCCGCTTGTAAACTCTACCGACGTGAATGAAAAATGTGTTTGTGTTAAAAAGAATGGGGTTGAGCGGTTTGTGTGTTACCTTTGCTCATATATAATCTATCCGTGGAGTGATTTACAGGTAGCTCTCTATTCAATGGTTACGATGTACTTTTTAAAAAAAAACATGGTTTTTGGTCATTTAATTTTAATTTTAATAATGAAAATTGTGTAGGCCCTACACCTTGTGTACAATTTTATATATAATTAATTTTGTCACTTGAGCCAAAAAACATAAATTAACTCATTTCTTAACTGTTTATTTTATTCAACTTTTTAAACATGTATTCAAAAATATGTAAAGAAAATTAGGAGTAACAAAAAAAATAAGATCAGACAAACTATTAGAATTTTTCTAGTTTACATGAAGTAAATTTAGTAAACAACAGTAGAACTTAGAATTAGATTCTTAGAAACAATGTTTTCTATTTGTGTATGTTTACCACAAATAAATGGCACAATCTAACTTAAGATTGCCTAAAAACAGGGCTCATGCAAATCTCCTTAATATAGCTAGAATTCATGTTGCTTGATGAAAATATATATAGTTGTCTACGGCGATCCTCCAGTGTTGCCATTTGTAAATTTATGATCCCACTAGCTCGTCTGGTCTCCCCCAAAAGGTTGTTTTACAGTAAATTTGGGCAATATCCTGCTACTTTGAAATTAGAAAACATATAGGTAGAGAGAAAAATTATATCAAATTTCCAGCTCCACTGTCATTAAAAGTGGTAAGAGCCACTTTAATAATGGCAATGCTTTTTTAAGTATAGCAAAAATAGAAATATCTGAGTAAATTAAATCATTCACCCTTCCTGTTTCATTCACCCATTTCATTCACGCCTCTAGGTTCATTCACCCTTGGGGGAATCATTCACCAGAAACAGTTTAAGAAGCACGGCGTTAAGATACTGAGGCAGAAGCGTAACAAGGAGGGCCAGTCCTATACCCAAGGCGTCGTGCTAGTCAACAGAGACCGGCCTAACGACAAGATGATGCCCCTTTCATACCGTAGGGCTGGCCTTGCCCAACGACTGGGATACCGCTAAAACATGAGGTCCAGCCTCGTGTTATGCTAGCCGCACACTATACAACCCGAGCGGGGGCGGGAGGCTTACGTCTGGATTAGGAAGCTTACGTCTGGATCGGTAGGTCATTTTGGGCCGATTCGAATTTTGAATTGGGAGTGGAGCGGGTCGTATAGTGTGCGAGGGCTTACGACGCGACTCGGATAGTGTGCATGGCCATCCGACCCGCCGCCGAGCGCTGAAGAAAATTTACCAATCACAGAGTAGCGCCATTGGAACCGCATTCGGTTAAAATGGTGGGGAAACACTCCCGACCTTTAGTACACGCTAAATCCGCTTGGAACGCCACGAGAGCGCCATGGTTAGCGCCGACTTTGAGTCGTACAGTGTGCGGGGGCCTCCCGATCGATCGGCTGCCGAGCGTATAGTGTGCGAGGGCTTACGACTGCGGCCCGAGCAAAATCGTATAGTGTGCGGCTACCATTACCATGTGTCAGGGATCGCACTCTGGCTGTGCATGACGCCGTTCGTTACTATAAAATGTCCCGTTTTAAAGCTGTGGACATACTACGCGATTTTTCATGCGGTCGAGCCGGCCGGCTGAGTCGGGCGACTCTGTGGACACACTACGCGACTGAACCGGGCGACTTAAATAATTATCAAACATGTTTGATTCGGGCGACTCAGCCGGCCGGCTCGAAAATCTACCGTGACTGTGACCGCGATACTGGACACACTAGGCGATTTTTCATGCGATTGAGCCGGCTGGCTCGATCGCATGAAAAATCACCTAGTGTGCCCACCACTTTACACTGTCGATTTTTGTCAGCAAATCGTCCGAGTCGTGCAAAATATAACACGTTATATTTCTCCAACTCGGCGACTTGAGTCCGACTCCGACTCAAACACAATCGAATTTCAGCCGATTAGTTGGAATGCACTTGAAATTGGTACGATTTGCTGACAAAAATCGATAGTGTAAACGCAGCTTTAAGCACAGCTAACAACCGTTAACAACAGTTAACAAGGTAACAGCTAGGCGGTTAGACAACCATGCATGCAGACAGGCATGTAGTAGTCAGGGTCAATATTTTTCGGTTTATACATCATCGTACATACAATCTTCGTGTAGTTTTTCGCTCTATTTCGATCAATATTTCGATCTATTAATAGTTTTGCTTTATCCCCGTATAGATTCCTAAAACAAATTTTGATCTTGTTACGTAATAACGTAATTTAACTATTGGTTCATAAGATCAACTATTCGAGTGAATTGGCGACTATGATCAATTGTTCTACTATGCGACTATGTCTCTCGTGATCAGACTTCATTATAAATAATTGTTATTCATTGTAAATGTATAATCGAGTTTCTGGGTTTGAGTCCTGGGACTTCCACAAATAATATTAGTTGCAGAAAAGGTGCCAATCACCAACAGATTGCTGTCGGTTAGTTGAGTTAGCTGTAAGCAATCCCAAACTAGGTCCTCCCGTATCTAATCTGACATATATATATGTCCCAGTAGACTATCGAATTCTTTGGATAAAATCGATTTAAATTTAACGAGCATGAAGGATTGTCAAGCATTGCTCAAGATTGTTAATAATTTAACGTATATATTGCTTGCGCAATTTAGTGATTTTACTTTATTGAAACCTGATATTCGTAGAAGAATTTGGAGTAACAATTTGCATGAGCATTGCGTAATTCTACTAACAGTAAAATGATAAAACGTGAAACATGAATTGTTGCGACACCTACAAGTAATATGACTTCGTTTTCATCTGCTTACATCTATATGTTTTTATCAACATAACGCACGACGTCATCCAAAGTCATCGTCTACGTGAGATTTTAACTGAATAAGGAGGATGAAGAAGAATAAGTAGAAGAGGAGGAGAAAGAGGAAGAGATGGCCGAAGATAGGAGATAGAGGAGGAGTAGGATGAGGAAAACAAGAAAGTTATGCCAGGAGACAGTGGTAGATTTTTAAAGAATGCATTTGTGGTGATATCAACTTATCTCCTAATGAGAATGGTGCGATGTAGAGTGTGGTTTGTTATTGACGTGGTTTCACTTTTCCTACCAAACGCTCAAATATTGTATGTACGTGGACACCAAGACACCGGTCGGCTCGGGAGATGCCAAGCGACGGATAATGATCACATTATTGCACAATTGATGAGCGAATTGATCACCAGGGGTTATTAACATACATATAAGTTGTTAATATAGTAAGTCCACATTGCGTTGTACGTTATTAGATCTGAGCTGCAAAATTAATAATTTACGATGAATCAAACTTGCTTCAAATTTTCGAAAATATGCGCTAACGCCTCAATTATTAAGTGAATTTAAACATATTGAGTCGATACAAGCGCATTGAACGTTCATTTTGAAGTTGTTGCAGTTTTCGCTATGTTTGGTGAACGTGAGTAATCACTATGTACAGCGGTGTACATGTGTAGAGGCCCACGTACCTAAGTAACGGGATGTGTCCGTGAACAAACGCGCCCATGCATTCACATAACGGACGTGCAGGTAGTCACGCCTCTAAATATATTGGGACTGTGTTAATTGATAAAATGAGATAATATATTGTCATGATGCAGCGTGAGACTGTGAAATCATTCAGAACAATTATATGAAATAGATCCGACATGATTTGATAATAGCTGTGCGGCACCTTTCAAGCAATGCTCTGATGACTGGTTAATAAATTAATATTTATTTATCTATATATCAATATAGCGAATTAATAAAGCAAAACTGTGCAAACGAAAGAAATAATACTGTACATGTTGTTCCACTACACTGTAGATAAAAAACTTGTGATAGCTCTATAACCTGTGGATGTTCCAGTCATGCTTGTGGTGTTAAAGGACAAGCTAGTATATATCAGCTTTAACCTTATCGGCCCACATTTCATTATTTAATAGTATAATTTTAAAATTACACAACATAACTATGGTTTTGAAGCGAAGCATCCATGTGAAATGAAGTGACTACGCTATTAAATTGCCTATATTCGCTATTATTCTGAATGACGACTGTAGACTGCTTGCGTCATGAATGAAATTTATGTATCTACATATCCGCCTGGCTTTTTTTATATATGCAATATGATGATGTATTAGTGCGTATTTTTACATGCCAGTACATGCCCACAGATATTCTGTATGCATATAGAAAACCATGTAGCTTTCAGGAGATAGCAACTGAGAGAGAGTGTGGGTAACTTTGATTTTAGTAAGCGGCCGGTTATGCTGACAAGATTCAAGAGCATATGTAAAAGAAATGTCATCTTTAGCGGCAGCGTTCTGTTACAAAACTGGCAAGGCGCGTTTGCGACCGTGTGATGTGTCTCACGTCACTTTATGTATCTTTACTTATCTCTCTTTCTAGCTTTCCTCCCCGCGCTGTCATCTCTCGCTCTCCCTCTTCATCTGCCTAAAGCTGGGTTTACACTATCAACATTTGGTTAAAATGTTGACGAGGTGATAAACTTTTCAACGTTCTATCAACCTATCTATCAGATGTTCGAAGCATTTACAATATCGACCGCGAATCGGCAAGCGTTTCAACATTTCACCCGCAGTGTGCGCGCGGAACGCATGTGGATACGCATTTTTTGCATGTATCAATTCGCGCCGGGTGTAGACCGTGTGGTATGGGAGGGGGGGATATGTGTCAAAATTTAAACGTTCAATTGTTCGATTGATTGTTCAATTGAACAGTCGTTTAATCATTCAAACGTTCAATTGAGCAATTAAATAACGAATTGCCAAATTGAATCGCCGAATTGACGATTTGACGAATTGACGAATTGACAAATCAAATGCACGAATACTGAATAGGCGTATTGAATCATGGAATGGAGCAATTGCCGTACAATTGAGTGTACGTGCGTGTATCTCCGTGTACCCGCGTGTACGTGTGTGTACCCGCGTGCACGTGCGTGTACCCGGGTGTACGTGCGGGTACACGCACGTACACGCGGGTACACGGAGATACACGCAAAAGGAGAACGGATACACGGAGAAACGCCGGCCGATTGCGTTCCTAGCAACGTACGCGCTACCGCGCCTTCCGTCATGCCTCTGTGCGCATGTGCAGTAGGTAGGCCGATACGTTTGATTTGGCGATAGACGAGCCTCGGCAATTGCTCGATTGACGAGCCTCAGCAATTGCTTGATAGACGAGCCTCGGCAATTGCTCCATTCCATGATTCAATACGCCTATTCAGTATTCGTGCCTTTGATTTGTCAATTCGCCAATTCGTTAAATCGTCAAATCGGAGATTCAATTTGGCAATTCGTTATTTAATTGCTCAATTGAACGTTTGAATGATTAAACGACTGTTCAATTGAACAATCAATCGATCAATTGAACGTTTGAATGATTAAATTGACTGTTCAATTGAACAATCAATCGATCAATTGAACGTTTGAATGATTAAATTGACTGTTCAATTGAACAATCAATCGATCAATTGAACGTTTGAATGATTAAATTGACTGTTCTATTGAACAATCAATCGATCAATTGAACGTTTGAATTTTGACACATCTACACCCATAGTGTGGCGCCGATAGCAAGAACGCGCGCGGAAATTATCTCCCCCTGGGTGGAGGGCTGATTGCTATTATGTGATTTGCTGCATGACAAAACGTTTATCAACTCGCTGACCAAAAGTTTAGAAAATAAAACATGTTCTAATCTCTCAACTAGTTAACATCAACAAGTTGAGCGCTTTACTTTTACGTTTACACTGCCGACTTTCGGGCGATTAGTTGAAAAGTTTATCAACTCGTTAACTTTTCAACCGAAAGTTGACAGTGTAAACCTAGATTTATCCTCTCCCTCCCCTATCTCTCCCTCTCTCTGTCTCTCCTTCTCTCCTTCCATCTCTCTCTCTCACTCTCTCCTCCTTTCTCTCTCTCCCTCTCTTTCTCCCTCTCCCTTTCTCTCTCCCTTTCCCCTCCCTTCCCCCCTCCCCTCCCTCTCCCCATCCCCTCGTCCTCCCCCCTCGCTCTCCATCTCGCTCTCCTTCTCGCTCTCCCTCTTCCTCTCTCTCCTCCCCCTCTCTGTTCTCTGTTTCTCTCTCTTTCTCTCCATCTCTCTCTCTATCTCTCTATCTCTATCTCTCTCTCTCTCTCGCTCTTACTCTCTCTCAGCTTCTTGCTCACTCGCTCAGGCTCGCTGAGCCTTGCGTTCGCGCTTTCTAGCTGTCACTCGCCCACATGCGCAAATAAGTTGCGCACAGTTTGTGACATTTCCTACATAAGGACCCAGGTGTATCCTTTACGAACACAAGCTAAACTGGCAGCAGAATAGTCGATACGTGCAATCCTGCAAGCTTGTTTCTCTGCGTCAAACAAAGCAACCGGTACTGCTAGCTGCACAGATCGTGCCTTACTGTCTAGAATCCAGCATACATCTGAACATACTGCAAGGTAAGTTGCGATATCGCCTTCATTCTCAGTTTGTATTAATAGATGATATGCAATATTATCTTCGTAACACGTCGAGACAAATGCAGTGACTGTACGGCGTTTAACTTTGCTCTCAATAATATTTATTGTCTAAATATGATATTTAAGGAAACGTTTCCTCTCGGTGCTATCACCCCCATGCATGCTACGTGCGGTTTAACGCTTTGGTTAAAGGCTTTGATATCGTGGGAAGATATCGTGCGTCTATGTGTTGTGGAGCAGATATGCATGCAATGTACATACAGGCCCGTGGTAACATCGGCTCGGTGATAAGTGGATAAGTGGAGGTTACTACAATGTTTTGCGTGAACCCACGTGTCTACGGTTTAATGTTATATTTCGATATTAGGCGAATTAAGCTACTGTGCCGCTCAGGCAGTGATAATTAACGTTGAGATAGTTCCCTTTATGCAACCTTCCGGGTCTGGGCGAACGCACCCATATCTTGTGTCTGATTATAATTATTGAACTATACTCACCAAGATCGATTACACTGCAATACAACTATTCGCCCATTTTCCCGAGTCGCTGGGTTTACATGTACATTCATCCACTTGCCGGAAATATGTTCGACCGGTCTTCGTCGCTGTTTGTTCAGCGATATATATATATACATATATATATATATATATATATATATCGCCACCGTTACTCGGGTGCCAATATAAACACCTGTCGACAAAACAAACGGCGACACCAGTGTTAGACCGTTAAATATTACACACGTGAGGTAGAAAACTCAAAGGATTCAGCAGCCGATTTGGAATATTGCGCGCGTGCTGTTTTCTCACCACAACTCGTAGATATAACAGTCTGTAGTTATGGCGCTGTCACACCACCGTATGAAAGCCAGCGTATACCGACTTATCAAAATTTCTCTAAAACGCTGGCATAGGCTGAACTATCGATGCTTTTTTTAATTTTGGGCGTATACATAGCGTATTCATAACGAGTTAGACGTATACATAACGTATTAGTAACGTATATAGAACGTTTTGATAACTTATAGATAACTTATACCAACGAATGCTTAGCGTGTGGCCGGCGTTCACAACTTATGCCCAACGATAGTCTAACTTATGCATGGCGCGCGGCAGCGTATCGCCGACGATCACGTGTCGTAGCCTATAAAAAGGCTGCCGCTCGAAGATTCAATTCATAACCGCACTAGACATCGCAGTACCAACATCACCGTCGCAGTATTAACATGGCAATACCATTTTTATATACCAATTCTCCTAAACGCTGCCAATACGCCATTATACGGTAGCTGTAAGTTAGAAACACGTTCAGTAAGTTCTGTGGTCGTCCGGAACACGTCAAATACGTCTACATACGTCAATATGCGTTGGAGATAAGTTCGATATAAGTTACACATAGGTTCAAAGCACGTTACTCATAGGTTAGAAATAAGTTTTGGGTACGCTAGACACTATCTCGACGTATTTCGACGTATGAGTAACTTTACAAGTAACGTGCATATACGCTGGCATACATCGAAAATTTTTGTGCATGACAAAAATTCTCGACGACCTCGCCGTATTACGACGTATACCAGCGTGCTTCAGCGTGCTCTTAACTTATGCAAAACTTACCCATAACTTATTCGACGTACGCCAGCGTATTCGCCAAATTTTTCATACGTCGGCATACGCTGGCTAAATCGTCAAGGTGGGACAGGGCCATAATAGCATATTTAAATTTTAATAACAATCTAATTTATTGTGCAAAACAATAATAATATGACCATTAATAACCCCGGCGTACAAATAACAACTCTACAGATATGTTGTCATTATCTGAGTTTGTAGAGAGCGAGTAGGGACCACAAGAACGTCACAATTATCTATTGACGACATTATCATAGTTTTATTTCGTACCTTGTATTCTGGTAACATTAGACAATATTTAAGTGATATTCGTCGTTCACGGTAGAGTTGCAAGATGTGCATGCCTTTATTCATTGCCTATAGAATTTTGCGCGGTTATACATGTGTGGCGACAATTTTCGATGGCCCTAGATAATGCATACTGAAACGTATAGCCCTTAAAATGCTTTACGATAATTCGGATAAATTTATCTGCTCGACTATGGTGCACTCCGGCTGCTGACCGATCTGACCGCCGTCATGCAGCTCCGCCGATAAATAATCGCCGAGAAAGTGCTTCGCACGCTGCTTGCAAACCTCCCACACGGTCGACGTATGGGCTTCGTTCAGCTCAGATGTAGACGACTGATTGCTCCCCCGCGCGCGCGCCAATATTCGTTAAAAGTTTTACGTCGTGTTTATTCAAACGGGGTTCAATTCAATTTAACTTGATCTATTTCGAATAAGTGGCGCGTTATTCGCGAGCGGGCCGCAAATGTCAATCGACGTGCGCGTGTGAAACAACGTTGCGGCAGTCGACGTAGTAACAACAGAGTGGATAACGGTGTTTATATGAGCGTTTATGTGCGTTATGTCGCGGAACCCAGCCCCGCGGCCGACATTACCCTAGCGATAGGAAATTGCCACGTTATGAAAAGAATCTACAATATGACGGGAGATATTAAATAGTTACTACATCCTGTGCATACAGTTATATATATAATAAATTGACAGATAAATGAATTGATAGGTTGATACATAGTGGGTAGGAAGGTAGCGTATGGATGGTGGGTGGCTGGGGTTGTATGGACGGACGGACGGACGTTCGGTCGGGTGGAAGGATATAGTGAGACAATGGCTCCGTCCAGTGGGAAATAGGCTTACGCGCACGCCATCTAGGCGCCCATTACCGAACATAGCGTAGAGCATCCCATATGTCGACATGAAGCTTGGGCATGAATCACTCAGGGAGTGTGTGTAGGAGCGAGATAGCACGCAAATCAAAAAGAAAATTAGCTGCTTTCTTCAAACGCTTATCGCCTCTGGGAGAAACGGCGGAGCCTCGGCGCGAAAATGTCATCACTGGCTGCCTAATCCCCTTCTGCGCTTGATAAGGTTTCAGCAGTATCAGGGACCCATCTGGCCTAATTATCTGCGTCTGCTGCATATAGAGCAATTATAAGCGCTGTACCCCGGATTACCACGTGATGAAGCCAGTCGCGGCGATGCTATGGAAGCTTATGGCCTAACTGCCGTACCAGGTCAGCAACTGATTAAACGTAAATCATCCCCCTACCAATCTAACTTCCTTCACGAGCCTTCGATCGAATTAGACGATATTGGGACACATCAGTGCCCAATACCAAGTACAGGTCCAACTATAATGCGCGTACTTTGAATATATCACACAATTCGGCAAATTTACTAGAGCGTTCTAAGATACATTCGGCATTAGTCATAGATTCATTGAGTTCGGATTTGGTTATCTATAAATGCAGAATACCGTGAATGGTGATAATGCTGGTAACCTTCTCTCTCCCTCTCTCTCTCTCTCTCTCTCTCTCTCTCTCTCGCTCTCTCTCTCTCCTCTCTCCCTCTATCCCTCTCTCTCCCTCTCTCTCTCTTTCCCTCGCGAGACGAGAGTTAGAGTCAATAAACTCATAGCGCGCGGCCTGTGTCGCCTGCCGACCCGCGTGAACGTGACGGTCTCACGCGAGTCGCTGCTTAGTTCAGCGGCAGTTTTTTGTCGCGATGAAATAATCGCCCGCAAAACGCTCGCAAATAAACAACATGTTCTGCTTGCATCTATGACAAATACGACATACGCATATACGCTCTCCTATGACACTATTTGTCATAGGAAGAATCTTCCTATGACAAATACGACATACGCATATACGCTCTCCTATGACACTATTTGTCATAGGAAGAAGATTCTTCCTCTCTGAACCCCCGTTTTACGGCGCTTCGCCCTTCTATATTTTCATTCGCAACTAGCAACCGGAAAATGTCACTGTATGCAACATCTAATGGTAGAAATGTGTACCATTTTATAGTAAGGAACATATTTTTATCAAACCAAAAACCATGCTCCTGGAAGTGTATGTTATGTAAGTGTCTGTAATGTGTGTAATGTAATGTGTGTAAATGTATGTAAGTGTGTGTCCATGCTCCTGGTACGAGCTTATTTTATTAACATTTTAGCAGCAGCAGATTTGCTTCCGAAGCCGCCACTTCTCATCTTTCTAGATACATGTTTAGCATGAGCACTGAACCTAATGCGGAGCTATCGCCTGACAAATTTCCCTCCTAAACCACAACAGTTTGGCAGAGGAGAAAAATCAGCACTCGATGTGGGCATCAGGTGTGACCGTACTCTCTCTCTCTCTCTTCTATTCTTGCTGTATAATTGCGCACAACTATATCTCGTAGCCTATATAAACGGAATACTACGATCATCCGCGCGTTCACGTACTGTATCC